AATACAGGAACTTTAAAGTTGATTTATTTTAAAAGCTCGAGAACTGTCTATTGTATTATTTAAAAGATCATAAAACGTTACTTCATAAAATTACTTCTGGGGTTTAGTAGACAACGAAGATAAACTATGCCTTTAAATATTTCGGCCAAAACTTTGTTGTGTGTATTTTGAAAAGCGAGAACTCTGGTTTGAATTTTCTCTAAGTATCTATCAAACATATACTTTCCAAGAATTTTAAACCTTAGAGCTGTACTCTAACCGACTCTTAAAAAGGCTTAAACCCACGACACACGTCTAACAGTTTGTTTTATTTAACCATTTACTTGAATTATTAGTTTAATTTGTTGTTTTCGTTATTTGTATTCGACACGTGCATTAAAATAAATATCAGTAATTTATCGTTTGCTTTGTGTATAGAATAATCATAGGGTTGAATAAGTATTTTAAAAATGTAGTTTATCCTTACATGATGTCCTTACATCATTGTGAGAAGCGGGATGAATCACAAAGGACCCCATACAGCTGTCGGGGTGACTAATCACTTTAAATGTCTCAATATCGTCAGAAAACAAAATTTAGTTACAATGATAAGAAAAAACATAATTTATATCATAATTGTATAGCAAAAATAAAACCGGAGACAGGTAGCCTTATTAATTTGTTTTTGTCAGTAATGCTGTAAGCACAAAGTAAAATAACAACTGCTAACGATGTATTTTTCATCTATAGTTTCATACTTGTTGGTAATAACTAATAAAAAAAAATGTCATGATCCACAGAATTCAAAGGCCTTTGACAAATGACACTATGAAAATACACGTTAAATGTACTTGTTGATTCTGTGAAATAATTCTAAAATAGTAATTTCCTGATGTCTGTAGATTTAATATTCCTGTTACGACATACCGATGGGTACCTATTCGAGATTAAAACTTGAGTTTAACGCAGTTCCATAGCCAGGGATGGGTAAACAAGGGGTACGTAACCAACCCCCCCCCCCAACAAACAAAAAAATTATATTCTATACATAATTTAACAGTATAATATGTGGGTTAGCCACGCAAACTGTTGACTGTTGCAAAATAAACGTACATTAACCCTTAGGCCTTAAGTTATTAATGGATAACTTGTCTCCACCCCCCGAATAAATATTTAGCTACGATACTGCTTTAGTACGTTATTAGGTAGTATAAGTTAAACATTATATATAATAATATTATTTTATTTGATCCTTATGTAACCAGTGTTGAATAAATCGTGGCCGCTAGAGATAGTAGAAGGGTTTAAGACCATTCGACGAAGGATATTTTGATTAGTCAATTCGGCGAAAAGATTTTCCAGCAAAAGGAATTTCTATGTTTCTATTATAATACATAAAGTATTTGAATAATAGTGACTCTCTAAAGAAGCAAAGCTTGTAGTTGATTTTTTTTCGTTGAAGTTATTTTTATTTAACTCAATCTTTGTTATTACAATTTTAAGTCGTTTGTATTGCCCCAAGTGGATGAAAATACTTAATAAAACGAATGGAAAATAATTTTAACTATTTGTTATATTTTTAGCTTCGATAAGCAGCTTGAAAGGTATTGGTTTTACAATGATGTGTATAGCTAGCATGTCTATATAGATCCGAAATCATAACAATTGGTACTTTGGTGGGTCAAAAGTTTAAAAAGTCAATTTCTTACCGCCTAAACCGGGAAAAACACAGGCTGGTTTACACTATGCTTGGTTTGGACTGTAATAGTTTAGACTGAACTTGATTTGTATTCTAATGATTTATACTGTGATTGGGGTGTACAGTGATTTGATCACTTTCAAATGCATTCAAGAAATATAACACATTATGACAAATATATTATATATGGTTTTAAAAACTGTTACTCTATTTTGATTTTAAAATTTATTATCGATCACGGTCCTCAATTATGACGACAACTATTATTTTTTAATTAAAAATCATTCCTGTCTTTTGGTCAGCTACTTTTAACACCGAACACGAGCACGTACTTAAGAACCCACTCTTTTCACGAGACGGAGATTCATAATAACTTAATGGTTTTAACCTTATTCGCAGCACATAAGAGTATATTTATTTTCCAGGAAGTTTCTGTATCACGTATCACGTACTTTAATAAATATGATTGAAAATAATATTTCAAAGGGTTAAAGATATTTATAAAAAAAAATCACCACAATAGACTTGAGTGTAATAACTATTTTTGTAATATAAGTCTGATTATCAAAGCTTCGGCGTACGTTGCTATGGTTACTGTTGGTAGCCCGTTCGATCTCGTTTTTGTCAGTGACGGCCATAGCACCGTCTTACAACCGGCCAACAAGTGAGCAGAGTAAAGAATATAATGTTGTACTCCACCGGTCCTGTAAATCACTAACTATCACGAGCAATTATTACATCCGCAAAACCGAATATGTGGGGAAAAAAAGATGCTCTACAAAATGTCTAGAAGGAAGGTGAATTATTAAAGAATACAAAATCCTGAAACCGTAATTAAAAGAACAATTTAATGTGAATAGAGAAAAATATAATAAATATTGTTAGGCTGCAGTGTTAAAAATTGTTTATATATATATAGTAAAAAAAACCCTTATTCGTGTCCTCCTAGCGTGCGATGTAGCGTTGAACATAAATAAGAAAGCTGAGGTGTAAGGATGCATGTAGAATTATAGAATTATATTTTCTTTTCATAAGTGTTCTGCAAAAATGAAATACTCGTTATTTAATTAAACCGTACACCCGTTCTAGACGTATTTTACTCAATGCGTTGTCTTAGAATACATTTATCATTAAAACAGCTCACGTTGTATATATATATATAGGGATCAGTAGATGATTATAATGTAACAATGCCATTATGTTGTAGTGAAATTGAAACTATACAAAAATGTTTTTTATCCAAATTCGCTCAGTTCCCATGTTCATTCGAGCGTGAACCATATTAGATTAGAATATATGTGTTTCAAAAAGCAATCAAAATCAGGTTCAAACGCTAAACACTGTAAGTGGCCATCGAACACATTTCTTTTTTTTTTGTTCAAACAATCAGAAGTCGACCTCCGCATTGACTTTGGTACCAAGCTGTTTACTTCTCAGACGGAGTTTTGGTTTAGTGGGCTATCTGACCTTCTTAGTTAGAGACCCAAAGACAAGGTGGCCATCGTTTCGTTGTTTTAACTGCGAACTACTATCTCGGGCCATGTCAAATTTAACGGCATAGATATTGGAATTTATAGACTTTTAAAACTAAGACGGATGTAAAAAACACATTACAGTTGTAAGCCGACCACTTGAGTGTCAGTGAAGTGAAAATATAGCGGCAGTGGGACTGCGGTCACTGTGGCACGTGGGTAGTAATCAATTTTAAAAGCTAAAAATGATAAAAATCACACTTTCGTTATAAACGTGCACCTCGGGCCTAAAAGAGTCAATCAAATAATGTCGCCAAAATGTATAAGACCCATTCCTTATCGCTTATGCATTGTTATTCACTTCATTATGTTCTTTGTTTATTATTTCAAAATGTTACGCATGTTAGCAGTAAATTTAAAACCACAAGGCCTTCTAAAATATGAACGTTAATGATCATTTACCAAAAACTTTTTAAATGAAAGTACGGCCCTTTTAAACCCGAAATACAAAGGACTATTATACATGTATAATGACTGGTTATAATAATAATTTACAAGCTGATGAATTCTGTATACTTTTCCTTCCAAAAACTTTACATGATTAAACGTTTGTTTATGAAACTATGTCGGTGTTTATTATAGTTTCATTTTGATGGGCGAATTGTGTGCATTCAAATAAACTAGACAATTTTATACTAAGTACATAATTTGGTATGATATATATATTTTTTTATAAATTATAACCAAGTATGAAGTAACTATACTAATTATTACTTGTTCAATAACGTGTTCTCGAGTACTTGTTTCTAAAAAAAAAAAAAAAATAATTTCGCTGATTGGCTATAATCTTTCATTATCTCTTATAAAGCCCTCTCCCATATCCTTTGTCATCACTCCTTATCAAGCTTCATTTTTTCTAAGCATTTTTGTATCCCTTGTCCCTATTACCTAATTATTATTATTTTAAACTATCAGGTGAATCGTGTGCGGTGTGAATGTTCAGTTAAGATTAGTAGTGGTTGGGTGCCATAGAACATATTCATGGTACATATATCTCTACATGGAGGGGAGGAAATTTCTTTCTTTATTATTTTGATAGTTGCAGTAGAGTATAGAAGTTATAACATTTAAAACTCTATCGTTCGCAATGATTATATTATAGTATACTCTCGAAACACACGTTGTAAAGTTTTTCATCACGTTTGCGTCCACGATAGTGCTCTACCGCAGAAGGGCTGAGACGGGGTTAGGTTACAGGTGGGGCTGCCACAACGTTACACTTACAGCACAAGTTTGAACCTCTGGCCGAAGTGGCGGTTATTTATTTCTCTAAACAGTCACATTTCCCTGACCAGCAAAATAACTGCTACTGACAGAGATAGCCTAACCGGAGTCCATGTTTAACAGCTACTACATCGGCCGTTCTCCAACGTTTGACGGATAAATCAATTAATTGAAACAATGACTTTGGGTTTTCCTTATCGCGCCCTATAGGTTGTGTTACATTTAAAAAAAAACTGCTCTTTTAGTAAAAAAAAAACAAAGCCAGTACAGTGAGGTTGGAGGAAATTGGGACGGGGAGGTTACTGGTCTTAGTTATAAAATCTCTTTCATATAAACACTTCCATGAGAATCTCTAGATGACAATGAATATTATACATTTAGGTAAGGTTTGTTATGGCAATAAAGCATCTGCGTGACTGAATTAAATGTGTGAAAGGAAAGTGGTGAGCTTTTTGTATTTTTTGCCCAAAAGTACCTTTTGGATAAGATTTCTTTTGACACTAAAAATTGGTCATGTACCAGTAGGTAGCGCACATATAAAAAAAGACAATATATTTTTTTTTTAGATTGCCAAACTCAATGCGCAGTATATGTTCGGACGAGCGGTGCGGTACAGCCATCAAACTATCGTACTTGCTGCCGTTTCTGGTGTGCAGCCCAACGTTCCTGGTGTTTGAAATCTTGGAGACTAAAGTCGAAGAAAACGGCCAAACGACCACGTTGTATCACCTGGGAATCAGCTCACTGGCCAAAGTCAACCAAGAACTATTGTACATGGTCCATCTATGGACGTACGCCGTGATCATTAAATTACTGCCTTGTTGTATACTCACGGCCGTTACTATATCTCTGGTAAGTGAAATTGCATAATTATTTTCCATACTTGTTAAAAAATGTTATGAAACTTTGACAAAGGACTAGAAAAAAAAAAAACGACAAAAGTTCTTTAAAAAAAACATTTCTTTTTTTTACTTTTTCAAATAGTTGTGACCTAATTATTTATCAAGAGTATCACTGGAAAGTCGAGCACAAAGATAGAATAAATTATAAATCAGTCTAATATAATATTAAAAAAAAAAATTTTAATGAAATTCGACAACCAAATTAGCCTTACAAACTATCCCATACCACAATATTAGAAAATGACAATACTTTCCAAATTATTAAGAGAAAATAATTGAACATCATAACTTGTTATTTGGAGGTCTATATTGATTAATTGATTATTTTCCGCTGTACGGGACATTACCCAATAAGAATTTATATTAAAAAATCAAGCCGTATTCTCTGTTTATTAACATTTCAAAATTGAAAGACGGAAAAACTTCAGAATTAAAACGCCGAAACTTTTATTAAACTTCCTCAAGAAAAGTCTGAAAACTACTATGGTTCAAAGTTCAAACCCTACATAATGAGAACCATATTCAAAACGAAGCGAGCTTCAGTCATGTAAGAACTTTAGAGAATCTGTATTACAAAAATCATTGCAGCTTTGACTGGTGAGCCTTAGTCAAATTTTTTATATTGTCTTTAAACCTTGCGTGTTATAATATAAGATGTGAGAATTTAATATAAACTTTTGGTTAAGTAATAAATTCTCAAGTGTTGAACAGGAAAAGATTCTTAAACAGCTCTTTTGTACTTGAATTAAACGTGTACAATCTTTTCTTAATTTCTTCTAATGGCCGTTAGCTGTTTGGCCTACATCAAGTAGAATAGAGTTTAGCCCATAATTTTAATATTGTTAACTATATACTTAGTTTTCAACCTTAGCCTGTGAGAATGGTGATTAGGGTTTTCTTTGCTGTAAATAGCATAATAAGCAGTCAAGAAAAGCTAATTACTTTTTGTACAACACAACACAATTTGTTTTTAATTTACATTTTATCTTTTCCACTTAACATTATTTTGTAAGACTTTCTGTTGTAAAACTGATACCTCGCAAAGGCACTCAGTTTGTGAAATCAAGATGAGTTCATTTTTTGTTTATAGTTATACATATTTATTAAATAACTGTATTCGTTTCTTAGGGAAATCTGTGGGGAGACTGTATATTATCTAATCTATGATAAGCCGAATTTCCCAATCCTTTAGCTACGTTTAAATATTATGCCATCGACATACTGTATATTAATTATTAAATTAATATACACAGGCACTTCCGACTGTCTTCTATTGTGTAATTAAAACAGCCCATACATCTCAGTATAGTAATGTTTTAACCGTGAATTGCTGATGCCGGTATATATACACACTATTCATATAGATAACCGAAATTTAATCTCTCTCTATATATATACCTGTATACTGTATAGTGGCCGGAACTATGTACAATATACATTGAATAACAATAAATTAACAGCTGATCAGATTAGTTTATTATAATAGGTACCAATAAAAATTTAAACCTAAAAAATATAAATTCAGCACTAAAAATAAGTAGTTTTAATGGCAATGAATATTTCTCTCCTGAAAATATCTCCTGAATCCTGAATTTTCTCTCCTGAAAATGACGAGGACACTAGCCTGAAAAATAATGTTCAGAGAGTCGTTATTGCAAAACAATGTTCTCATTTCATTGAAGAAGACACATTCAAACACCAAAAATTGCGTCGTACAGTGTATTTAAAAACACATTGAATTTTTGACAATATCATACTTAATTTAATCACTCCCTCTCTCTCTCTCTCTCTCTATATATATATATATAAAATGTACTCCTCTCCAAGGAGAAACAAATGAATTATGAATCTATTTTTTACATCCACTGTTTATGTTCAGTGAACATTTTCTACAAATGTTTTTTTTTCTTTATTGAGAACCGAGTAAACATATTTAAAGCCTAGAATAGTGTACTCGCAACACTCTCAGTATAATTGGTACAGTGTTATTGTGATAGTAATTATTTATCGTGTCCAACTGTAAGTGAAACGATAGTCTTAGTAGTAATAGATGAGGAATTTCCATTAAGTAATGAAACTCAAGCATAACGTCTAATGAACAATAGACGATTTTTGACCATACTGTGTTCACTTAACTTCTGTCTTGCATTGATTAATAGTATTAAGCACATTTTATTTGCTTTTTATGCGCTATAATATCTAAAAAAAACCATTAATTTTTGTTTACATCAATGTTTTAATCATTATTTTCCTTACAATAAATTTAGTATATTAATGAGTTTATAGTGTCCTGGTCACAAACTAATGTATTTATTTTAAAGAAACATGAAAACCGAAGAAACCCCTTTTCAGGTCGGTTTAACTTGTCAATCTCAGCGAGTACTCCTCGACGGCATAATTTAATTATTTTGTTGAAATGAAATAACGAACACCAATAATCGACATGATATATTTTTATTTTTTTTATAAAAACCATTCACTCGACTTTTATAAATGAGATAAACCCCTCAAAGCCTTTTATGAAATTATTTTAACCGTTTGGTATATTTTTGTTTTTTTTTACAGTAAAAATGTTCATTTTTTAGCTTCGATGCAGAGCAGAGATGCTATTTTTTTATGCGACTCCTATTTATGTTAGAAATGAAAGATAATTAAGATTAAACGAAATACAACCTTCAAAAATATATATTTATGTTGGTGGACCATTTTATCAGTTTCATATATAGCTAAACAAATATAGCATTTATAGAAACAAAAGAGGCTTAGCGACTTGCGCTTAAAACAACTTTTCAGACAAATCTCGGATTAGCATTAAAAATCAATAAGTTTATATCAGCTAAAAAAAACAAAACATCTTAAATTGTAGGCAATTGATTTTTCAGTTATCTTTTTGGGGCAGCATCTCTGTTACCTTAAAAATATTATCCCTTTTAGCGATATTGTCTGGACTCACGATACATGTTAAACTACTAAACCAAGAAACATAATATAAATCTTATTTATATATATAGTATATACAGGCCATTTGTCTGAAGTTGGCCATAGGTACCTTACAAGAATAAAAGTATAATTCAAACCAATAAAAACACACTGTAAATTGAAATGTTTGTATCTAAATCGATACGCAATCGATTTTTAAAAAATAATCGAAACATTTCCACTTGATTTAAGGCATTCTTTAAATGTGGGTAGATTATAACGCGACTGATGTATACAGTCAAATCCCAAGAATACATCACTGGCTCTTTTCATCGGAAACGATAAAAACTTCCTCTTTGTGTCCATTTTCAAAGGCAGTTTTTTAATTAAAAGTCTGAAAATAGCACCGAAAGTAGGTCTTGACTTTACTGTGTGCTTACACGCATGCAAATATGATACAAGTGACGGCAAAATAAAAATTTAGTTGGTTTTAGTAACTTTTTACTATCAATACTTTAAATTCCAATTATTATTTAATTTTCCTCGTTGGTAGTAAAACGTTGAATGTCTTTTCAGCTTGGTATTTTATTATCTGGTCAAGTATTACAAGTTTATAGTTCTTACAGAGGCTGTCATGTATTTTATGTGTGCAACTATAACACACCAAATCGTTTGACTAACATAGATATACAAATTATAGTGCATAATTTATTGTTTAAGTGCATTATTGCAAGTACCCTTTTGCAGTCTGCTTGACGTTTCAACGTTCACCAGAGTTAAACGATTAAAATAAAAATTGCATTAATCATTTTCGTTTTTCGACCATCGGCCGCTTTGAACATTACCATCATTTCCATTCCAAATGTAAGTCTTTTTTTTTTTAAACGCCCAATACATATGCCATATACATATTTGTATTTGGTAAATAAGCGAACCGCGAAGGCAAAGTAAAGTTTACTACATTACTACTTTATTTTTTCAAGGAATTTTATACACTATAAAAAATAAACTATGAGCGCTAAATAAATATTTTCTTGACAACCATCAAAGTTTTATGTACACACTGCAACTAAACTTTATATATGACAACATATAAGCTGATGTAAAAAATTAAGAGAACATTTTTTTATGTTGTGCAGTCTATATACCTTATAAAAACCTGTAGGAAAACAAGAAAAAGAGATTGCAAGTGTGCAATCGAGCTTGAGGAATACCATAGAATTATTAACAATGAGTGATTTTGTATGTTATATTTTTTATAAAAGCTAAGAAAATATATTAATACTTAAAAATATGAACAAAATCTTAAGTAATAGACTATTAACAAGTACTGATTTAGTCTAATTTTTAATATTTTTAAATAGATTATAAAGGCATAGTTAATTAATAGTATTGTCAATCCTAATTATTAACTGTTATATTATGTGACATCGCTTATTTTTTTGCAATTAAATACAATTATTTATTAGATCGTTAAATTATAACATAAATATTTGCAAAAAACTAAAAAAACAAATAATTTTTAATTCGCAATACAACCAGTACTAAAGTGAAACTCGAATAAAAGTAGTATTACGTCTAACATTAGCTGTTGTGGTTGTTCCAAGTTCTTTCTAAGCGAGTAAAAAATATTTTTCAATCAGGATTAATCTTATTAAACAGTAAATAAAATGATTAACATTTTCGTGAAAAATACATTTAAAAAAGGCAAGGCAGAGAAACAAAATTTCTCCATTATTAACGTTTTTCAATACACTTAATTTGAATTATTACTAATACGAGTAGGCGCCCGTCAAAGACAATTTTAACGTCTTTTATGCTTTTAATACATTTATAATTGAACATTTTAGCTTTTTTATGTCTTCGCATTCATAATATTACTACTTATTTTTTAAAAGAAAAAAGTCATTCGATTCAAACTCAAAAACGTTCACTAATTATATAAGACGCAGTAGTCTGAGAATAAAACTACATTATAAAGTATTAACTCATTTTTTGCAAGACATTTTTGGCATCATGCGTAGCTTTGCTACTACGTTTACAAGATATTAAATGACAAATGGTATTAATAAATAATACCGTAATCTCATTTTATTTTTACTCATTTACTCGAAGTGCTCACTCATTTACTCGTAGACTAGATGTATTTAACCAAGCCTTAAAACCATTATTAGGCTTTCACCTGTTGTTTCGTTTGTCCGCAGATAACCGCACTGAGCGAGGCTTCCGAGCGGAAGGCCAAAAGACTTCCGACCCAACAGCAGATGGCTCGCTTGAGGAACATGAAGCTCAAGCGGAGAATGGACAGGACCAGTCGGATCATGATCGCCGTGCTGCTGCTGTTCCTGGCCACCGAGTTTCCGCAGGGCATCCTCGGTCTGCTCAGCGGCATACTGGGCAAACGGTTTTTCCAAACTTGTTACCACCTGTTCGGCGAACTCATGGACATGCTGGCTCTGTTGAACGCGTCGTTGAACTTTGTGTTCTATTGTTGCATGAGCAAACAGTTCCGAGTGGGGTTCGGACAGTTGTTCAAAGCACAATCGAGCTCGATCTGTAAGCCCAGCAATATACTGGAGACTTTCGTATAGGCCGGACAGCATGGCCTACGGGTACGGCGAGAATAAATTACACGCATAAGTATAGACATAAGTACGCGCGGGGGTCGTTAGAGTATTAATTTTACCGCCTCGGCACATTGAAAGTCGATTAGGGGATATTTATTGCGTCTTCCACGGCACAATGCTGGCAACGAACGAGACGGTCGTTACGACCGTTTGTATCCACTCGGCACGTTCGCTCGCGCACAGCTCAGCCGAATAATAAGCTATTTACCATTCTTATTACGGCCATTGTGGCCCGCGCCCGTTATTTGTGTATCCACCAGCCTTTGTGTTGTATTTGCCACGTACCTTTTTTTGTTATTTTGTTAAGACTAAGGTAAAACTTGTGTTTCGATGCGAAACTGAGAAGGTAATGTTTTTACAATATTATGTGCTTTGTGTGTGTGTTATCCTTAACCGCAAAACCGACTTGTTCATGTAGCAATCTTATAAATCAGAAATCGTACCTGAAAGGATCAACAAATAAAACAGTTCATCACTTCTTTGCAAAATCCAGAAAGACACCCCAAAAACTGTACAGATATTTCAACTTAAAATCACTACCTATAACTTTATTGAAAATAAATAAATGTGTAAGGAATACATCTAAAATGTAGTACTATTGATATACCATAACAAACTAATAAAATATCAAAAACCCAAATGGGGTGGAATCTTTTTTCCGTTATTCACTTTTTCGAGCATAGTTTCAGGACTGAATATCATCTGAGAATACATATAAAATATGTAGTACGATTTTTTTTTTATATAAATAAAAACACAAAAAAGGAGAAAAACTACACATTACCGTATTCAATTTGCAAGTTACTAGATGTAAATGTATCAACAGGTATCCGAAAATGATTTTAAAATATATACTTTTTTTTTTACAAATATTAATAATTGTTTGTATTTATATTAACATATTATAACATGTTTTTTCTTACCAACAATTTTAATTTTTATTTTATATTATATTTTGGTAAAATAGTGGCCCTAATTTGAAACTGGGCCCTATACTTGGTCTTATATAATTGTCTCGAGTTTTATCGATATTAGTACCGTCTACAGATTCGCACCGAAGCGTTTCTTTTAGTGGTTTCTTCACACTTAGTTGTCAGCTATTCCTTCGTTCTTGTGACTACTCCGACCTCACTATGCTCCGTCACCTCTGTGTTGGCTTTTTTAAATCAATTTCTCATCATTATATAATTTCTATTTATTTAAATACCAAGTACACAATACACACGCTATTGGTTTTATACACTCTTATTTAGTGGCGCAAAAAACAACTTTAAACTACCAACCCCCCCCCCCACAACTTTCAACTCTTCTCTAGTGTGTAACCACTGGGTAAGTATTTAAATCAAATATACAACAACAGGGTTAAAAAAAAAAATGTTGGACGCCTCATATACTTGCAAATCGCTATTATTACACGCATTACTTTAATATAATAAAACGAAGGAGCGCTCGCTTGTTGTATACGCGCGTTTTACATTATATTATACTGATTTTTCTTGTATATTATTATTATGATCATCGTCATTATGTTCTTTGTTGGACTAAATTTAAGTTTATAATGAGCTCACATTTGTCATGGTTGTGTACCGATAAAACCTAATAACATTATAACATAGCATATTAATATTATGTGATAAATACTACTCAAACGTCGTTTATAATATTCAGGAAAGTAGTTTATACAATAGAGTCGTATGAATCGATTAGTTCTAAAATACGAACTAGCTTAATTATTTTTTTTTTTTTTTAATATTATTTTTAACTAATATTATTAATATCCTTATATATCTATATATATATATATATATATATATATAAATAGTTTATTTTGCGCAAAATAAACGGGCTAAATCTGACCCTTTGCGAATTACGGTGACTCTCTTGTTAAAACGTTTGCAGGTGAACGAGTGGGCGATTAACTTGGGATTTAGTGCTTGGATTTAGCGCGTTCAAAGGGCTTCCGCGGTGTACTTTGTGTTCACGTTTGTTAAAAGCGCCTTGAAAAATTAACCAGTACTTATAGTCCACCCTCGAACTGTCCGGCAATAGTTTCCCAGATCTACTATTTCGCAGTAAATTACTTAGGTTGTTACACGCTTGTTCGACAGTCGAAAGTAAGTACGGCGAATACGGTCCGACGATGCTATAATATTATTTTTGCCTTTAACACGAGTTCTACTTAGCTTTTAGTTTGGAAAGAAATAAACGTACAAAAAATCCGTACAAATGTTCGGTAATACCATCCATTCTGGATTATTGACAGTGCTTTTTTTTTTGTCATTTTTGTAGTCAGCGACTTGAAACTATGTTGTATGACAGAGAAATGCCAGTTATGTAAATGAGTGTTCAGAGTAGACAATTGATGATAGGATCAACGGAGTTGCTTATAGATGTGTGTGTGGAGTTAAAATCCATTAGAAATCAGTATATACGCTTTGCATCAATCGCAGGAAAAACAAAATAGAATAAACGGTTTGGTCATGTTAATTTAGCTAACGACTCGTTCTTTACTTAAAATTATTTATATTGGCTAAATTTTTATTTTGAATAACATAACATATTTACTATTGTATAACGTTACCGTAAAGAAATAGGTGTAATTTAAATTACAATCGATTAATTGTGTTAGTTTAGTTTATATAGCATTACAAAAAAAGTGTAATTATATTTAGTTAAAAAAATTGGTAGACTAGATACGATTGTGGTAAGCTGTATATTATACCATACAACAGTATTGTAAAAGTCGTTGAGTTCATTTTTAATGTTAACTCAATACAATAATATTTTTTTAACACATTGAACTCCAACATTATAATTAATTAGAGGTTGAATACAGTGTCGATTTTCTTAAAAATTGTTTTGTAAATGTATTTTTAAATGTTACCCATTTATATTACATTGTAATAAGATAACTATTGTCCCTTCATTTTTAAATCATACATTATAGCCGCTTTAAGTATACATTTTTTTTAAATATTTAAAATCAATTTTATGAAATTTTATACTTGTATACAATAATTATAAAATATATAAAATGTACCTATTTTTATTTATACAACATTACCTATGTGTTCATATTATTTAAAAAAATACATTAAAACATCGAATATTATTATTTCAATATGTTTAATTATATTCATATCCAGATTTTACGGATTATCGGGTTCAATATTTGTTATCCAAGTTTAAAATTTGAATAACATAAAACTAATAAAAACACATAGAGTATAAAATTCAACTGCAAAGTAAGTAATATCCAAAATATCAATATTAATAATGTATAACAATTTTATGAAATCAACGGGGCTACTAACATACAGTTAATAATGTTGTGAATCAAATTAGCACCTGTTTCAAATTTAAGAGTGCCATAAGTTCAATATGAAGATGATGGACAATATTTATAGCTACAATTGTTGAGAAGATGTAATATACTCTTTGTAATTACAAGCTCAGTAATTAGGACTTTTTTTGTTAATTAAATTTTTTTTAGACTATTATATCTTCCTTTAGAGAAAATTCAAATATTATTTTCATCTAAACATAGCCACTCAGAATGCGTTCTACTCTGTCCATGATGGTTTTTGAGCAAAAAACCCTGTTATAAAATCTAAAGATGATAAATTTTAGACATATCCTTGTTAACATGGCTATGTTTTCGGGCTAGGAGTCTATCTGAATAGCTTAACTTTAAAATTTTCGAAAATCAATTCATAGCTAGATTTTTTTTTAAATGAAATAACGCATTACAATAATAAATCACAGTATTTAATTATTATTATCGATTATACATACATTTTCAATGCAAATGCGTCCATCTGTTGAGTACTTGTTTTGAATAATTGCTTTTCTAGTTATTGGTATTTAAAAGGGTAGGAGAGGATGAAAATTGTGGTTAAGAGAAGCGACCAAAGACGCAGCAAAAAATAAAACTCCTCCACTAACACTTTTATGTATGATAATTACTTTGAAAGTTTTTTTACAAAAACCCGTTAACTTTTTCAGTAGATAGTTAAAGTTTTTTTTTTTTGACAACAACATGGTGATCAAAAGGATAGGTACTCTTTAATGTTTGAATGCAAATCAAATTATTTAAAATAAAGGATTACTCGATCATTTTTTAATTAAAATTTTTAAAAATAAATTAAAATATTAATATTCCAGACAGCATTTGCTTTTACTTTAAACATGATTTTGACATCTGAAGTTAAGCGGGACTACTACATCCTATTGTACTAATATATTCAATAGATGAATTTCGATTTTTATCATAGAAAATTTGCTAGATTGTGAGTTTTATTAAATATAAATTTTATTAAAGACTAAACGAAAATTAATAAATTTATTCCGACATGACTGGTGTATTCATAAAAGTCTAAGCTGTTCCTGGCAGTACATACAATATCTTTTTTAATCTTTTCACTAGTTATTTTCTATAATCTCATTTATACCAGTTCGACGTAAATCTATTTTTTATTATTCAGTCTCTTTCGATTAGATGCATTCTGATATTTTATTGAAAAATATAACTCGTTTTTACATTATATAATATTATTCATGTACCTTAAAGGCAATAATAAGGAACAAAAAAATTCAAGTTTTTTTCATAATAATATTTGTATTGTATTGCAATAGTAAAGTTTCATTTCACATTTACTGCGAGATGATAGTATATGTGTTTTTATGTATATGTGATAAATATAAAGTCATATTTTATGACTTTTTATTGCACTTTGAGCGCAAATTCCAAAAATGTTTGTATGATGTATTGAGTACAAAAAAAATTGTTTGATCTAAGTACAACGTTTTTCTTGCGATATCCATCACGGCGAAAAAGTGTTTGGGTGCGTTAAAATTCACTACACCTAATAACTAATGTTTGTTACGATTTGCTTGTTGCTTTATTTGCCTAACTTTTTTCAAATGCAATGCAGATATTATTTAACTTTGTACATTACTTGGTTACTGCGTTAGTACTTATTATGCAAACACAAATTGTTAGAGAAAATTGTATTTTTGTTGCCGACTGTGTAGTGTTACTACTATGGCCTTTATTTTTGCACAAACCTTGTAAACATAAAACATAACCGGAGTAGATATTTAGAACACCTAATAATAATAATAAAATAAGCGGTTGTGAATTAATTATTATCATTTAAAAAACATGTATATATATTTATATTTGTATCCCATCTTCTTTCCTTTTATACCACGTCTTGCTGCAAAGACAACATAATATTATAATTGATATGTCATATCGTTTGACAAGAAAAAAAAATTGGATAAAACTATGTAAATATTGGACGTTATGTGTCAGCGAGGCAATTTCCCGTAAGTAAGTACATGTAAATCATACCAGACCCTTTCGTTCGAAGGAATGGCGATAGAGCAAATGGAAAACTACTCGAATTGTACTTACATTCAACGGGATTTGCGACGGTCCTTTATTTCAGTGTATCGAAACGAAACAAATAGAAACAAAAGACCCGTTGTACCGACCATCAAAAACTGCACAGTTGTCAAAATAAAAAAGAGTAAATTATTCACTAGCCGTGGTAAACAAATATTTGTTGTAGATTTCTTTAACGAAAAAAGAAAAAGAGCTGCCTGCGAAAAGTGTCAATAATGATGTCATTCAGAGTACGACGAGGTATATGTTAAAAGTTTTTTTACCTAAGCTATGTGTGTGTAATAAAAAAAAACGCTCTTCGAGAAAATTACACTCTCGCTGTTAGCTACTCGCCAAATTTTATTTGTCCATTCCCTTTTTTCCATTATCCGAGTAGAGGATTGTTTTAGGGGTTTGTATCGTTATCATGATCGTCGTCTATACCGCCTCGAGGTTAATCCGTAACGGTGAAGTCTTTTATGGATCACAACAGGACGAAACCCCAACGGGGACTAAGTCGAATAATGAATCAAACCGTAGTAAATTCAAATTTAGGTTTATAATAAATTATTAGTTATTTTTGCATGTGTATCCAGAAGTAGTTGTTTTAAAACAATAAAAAACAACACTAGTTAAGTACAGGTATCGGAATTGATTCCTGCGAAAATTAAAATAAACCAGAATAAGAATGTCTTTTTAAAAAGTTAAAACTAAATTATTCTTGTTTACATTTTAAATAAAAAATAGTTTACCCCTTTGGCAAGTGATTTATTTGGCCTTGAAGTGTTAAATCTACTTATCGAGAAAAATATAATTTTAAACTGATTTAAATCACAAATACTAATGAATTATTTTTCTGAACAAAAATTCTCTACTAAACATTTATTTTTTCAAATACTTGTAACGAACTAAAATAATAATCAATGGAATAATTTTAACTTAGGTTTTCTATAGGTAGTTTGTGCGATTTTCGAACGTTGAAATTACTTTTCCTTTAAACGGGATAGTTGAAAAAATGTAAAATAATACAATATATTTTACTAAATGTACTAATCAAAGTACCGTTTGTTGACAGATATCGTATTTCATCGTCATAAACAAAACAATCACTAAAAATGAGTTACATAACTTGTTTTTTATTTATACATATACTCAATCAGAAAATCGATAAAAATTAATTTGGATTTATTAAATAGCATTATTAATTTATATATATATATAAATTAATGGTAGTGTTTTTGATTTTGTTTTTGCCTGTCTTGCCTCTTCGTACTACAATGTATATATGAATTCCTGCCCTCCGCCTAT